AAGACCAGTGTCACACTCATATCAGAATAGCAAATGTCTGTTCTCCCCGTTCCTGAATACATATATGTACTTGCACACTTGAGCAGATCCCATGTGTACATGCAGGGTCATGCCAGTGCACATGCAGAGATAGATTCAAGCCCTGCTTAGTCCATGCAGGCACAGCATGCACACCAACGTTAACAAATGAGTGAGGACATCCACAAAACACAGTTAGAGCTCCGAGAGCAAACGGACAGTGCTCCCGTGTGTTCCAGAAACGTGGTGCCGAGAGCCAGCGCTTTGATGGCTGTCGTGTCTTCTGTATGCCTTCAATCTCAAGCCACCTACTGTGTGCCAGGCTAATCTGTGCTAACACACTGTCACAGCCTGAGGAGGCTCACAAGTCACATTGGAAAATGAGGTTAAAAGCATAAGCATAGGGCAAGCGATTTAGAAGCTTTTTGTTTTTGTTTTTTGGCTGGCTTTTGAACTTTGCTTTGCTCAACTTGGCCTTTCCTGGCCTAGCTAGCTCTCAACAGTATTTTGAATCACACCTCATTTTTGCTGAGCATTGCTTAATAGACTTGTATTTGACCTGCTCACTAGAAGTTATTACCATTGGTCATCTCAGGAATTCTCGTAGTCCTTCCACTCTGACACCAGCCCAAGATCCCATCAAAATGAGAGCCCTGATAAGAATGTCAAGAAAGTCATGTGTCAGTAGAATTAGAGCAGCTAATTTTCCTTTTATGGTTATAACTTCTTATCAAATATAACACTAATGCTATACTTTGCTCAGTTCTGACTACATTCCAGAGAGTGAAATACGGGTCAGAACATCTTACAGTGATTTTACTAGCAAAAGGAGCCATGGTTTTATGAAACTATAAAATGTGGTAAGAAGTTATTAAAAATTCAGTGACTCTCCGGCCTACACTTTCATCACAACACTGTGCAGTCTTCACTCTGTTAGCTTTCCTCTCCTTCCAATGGTAGTTTCACATTTCTTTGGGTGATGAGCACAGGAATCATGGGCACTCTCTTAATGACACACTTTGATAAACTTACATCACTAACTTAACATTTCTCAGATTACCAGCCTCTTCCTTTCTGGTTAGTATAATGTTTGTTGTATGTAAAATGTTTACCCAAGGGTCAGGTGGTCCTTTCCCATGTTACCTTTATTTCAAGATCATTGGAAATGATCCCTTCAGTAAATATTGGCTATTAACTAATTCTGTTTTGGTCTTGGTTTGTTTTTCTGAAAATAGTCATGATTTCAAATGTAAATAGGAGAGATTTTGTTGGGTATAGGAATTTAGGTTGAAGACTTTTTTCTTTTTTACTAAAAAGACATCATGCCATCTCTCCACTTGATTGTGTTTGTTGCAAGCTCGCTTATGCACAAACCTTAATTATTGCTATTTTAAGTCCAATGGAGGGCTGAAGAGATGGCTCAGAGGTTAAAAACACTGTCTGTTCTCCCAAAGTCCTGAGTTCAGTTCCCAGCAACCACACAGTAGCTCATAACCATCTATAATGAGATCTAGTGCCATCTCTGGCCTGACTACTATATTAATGATAGATAGAGAGATAGATAGATAGATAGATAGATAGATAGATAGATAGATAGATAGATAGA